GTAAGAAACAACAATGCGCATTTATCCTTGTATACGCATATGGTTTTGTAACAATCTATAATGAGATATAAAATTATTTAAATGTTAAAAAAGTATTATAAGGGATATTGGCTATGCCATAAATCACTACAAACAAAATGTATATGTGGGTGATCTTGAACTTTTAATCTCGCTTGTTTTATAGGCAAAATTTCAAGTTTTACAAGAAATATATGGTGTTTTTACCTTGAATGTTTGCCCATGGAACAAAGATAACTTACAGAAATTCCACTAGTTAAGGAACTAATTAATTAGATACACATTAGTTTGCAATATTATTCTCAGATTTTGGTGCTTTCAAATACGTTTAGATATAAGTATCCTGGTAGATATGGGATCAAAGTTAGGTGTAATTTATACTAAATGCACTATATCCCAGTAGATTCACACGTATTTGAGATACATAGACAAATGTAGCTTGCCTCCCTTCCATCTCGATCGCTCGTCACTCTCTATATCGGTATATGGTATTCTAAATGTATATGAATCACCCAGATACATGTATATAGTGTGTATCTAGAGTGATTCACGTGTATCTAACTTGAAATCTAGTATAAAAATATTAAATGGTGAGATAAAATGTAATCTTTTCGAACTGTATGAAAAAATAGTAAATATGATAGGAATATTTGTGTAATTAGTTAGTTTCTCAAAAAAAAAAAAAAAGTTAGGGTTGGAATGTGTGTTGGGCTTCTATACTGGGCCAGCGCTTGAATGTGCTTTGTTATTATAAGAGATAAATTACTTAAGTACATAACATTACTTTACATATTCTCAATATTTCCCTACTCTTTTATTAAAATACAAAAATCCCTTATTTTCCCCCAATTCAACTTAACCGGATACTTTATTAGTTTAAGTATCCGCCTGTTATTAATTAAAGTATCCGCGCTGCTATATTATGCATCCGCCCGTTATTAATTAAAGTATCCGTGCCAACAACTTAATAATTCAAGTATCCGCCCTTTATTAATTAAAGTATCCGCGCTGCTATATTATGTATCCGAAAGACACTAAAAAAGGGATTTTTGGTAATTAATGAAAGAGTAGGGATAGGAAGTAATTTCTTTCTTATACTATGTGATTTGCCTAATTTTTACTATTATAAGATATGGCCCTTTAAGTTCCCGTCGTACTTCGCAAGCCTTTAAAGGGTCACTTTTTGTTTTTGGAACTTTCACATATAGCATACACAAAATTCATATTTGTATATTATAGCAAAGTTTGCATAATTGCACTCCATAGCAAACATATATATGTATAATTCGCTATACATATACAAAAAAAAATAGTTGTATAATTCGCTATACATATACAAAGAAGGCAATTGTATAATTCGCTATACATATACAAAGAAGGCAATTGTATAATTCGCTATACATATACAAAAGAAAGTAGTTGTATACAAAAGATCAATTGTATAATCTCTGTATGTATAAAACGAGAAAGAGAGAAAGGCAAAAGAAAACTGGGCAAGGAAATATTTGTATTGTATAATTATAAGTGTATAGGATGAAGATATATATGTATTTTGCATGTGTATATACAATTTTCTCTCGCTCTATACAAACAAAAGCGTAATTTATACATTTCGTTTCTGTTTGTATAAGCGAGAGAGGCGAGCGAGATTTGGGAGAGTGGCGAGCGAGATCTGGGAGAGGGGAACAAAAATATAAGTATATATACAATTTCCTCTCGCTTTATACAAACACAAACACATTTTATACATTTGTGTTTGTATAAAAGCGAGAGAGTCGAGCGAGACTGCCACCAAACGAGAGTGGCGAGCGAGATTCCACCAGGGAGAGTGGTGAAAATAGCAATAGTTTGCTATATGGTACAATTAAATCAAAGTATATTTATAGCATTTAATTTGAATTAATAGTTTGCTATTATATACAATTTTCCCTTTTGGTAATAGCCACTATTTTGTGTTGGACGTTCTTTCTCATTTCTAATAATTATTTTCTTTTTAGCTTTCCACCTAGTATTTGAAGCACGCATTAAAGGAACGATTGAATTCGGATCATGCATAATAGGGTCCATTTCTAATTTGCATAAAGAACAAACACTAGTAAAAGAAGAAATTAGAAAAGTGATAATTAAGAACAAAAACTTCCTGAGTGGGTACGAAACAATTTGCTGGATATACAAGTGAAGTCCCTTTAACTAAAGGTAAGGGTGCATGGAGAAAATATTGTTAAATTCAAGTACTTTATCTTCTAGTTGAATAAATAACTATAAAACAAAACTTAAACTAGTTGTTGTTTTTCTTTAAAATTGTGCCACGTTTCAGAAATTGAATGGTACATCGTCACACATATATTCAATTATAGTTTATAGTCTTTGTATTGTTTTCTTTCCATTAATTTATTTGCAATACGGAAAGAGGACTCACAGTACATGAGTGCCTTAACTTTTGGAAGCCAAATAAATCAAAGAGGATCCAATATTTTCTAGTATATAATTAAAATACATAATCTTAAAAGAGTAAAGAAAAACGAAATATACGAAAGAGAAATTTGGTCAGTGGAATTCAATAATTAAAAATAAATAAATTACTTTTCTCAAAATACTCTCTCTGTTTATTTTTATTTGTCCATTTTGGATGTTATACGCTTTTTAAGAAATAATGGTCGATATAAGTATTTTATTCATATTAATTGATGTTTAGTATTAGGTCTTGTAAAATGATTAAGAGAATAAATAATTAATAATAGTAAAAATAAAATATAAAGAAAAATTATTTTCTTGATTTATAAAATGTGAAACAAAAATATAAATTTATTTTTAAAATAAAAATTATGAGAATACTCAATTTTCCGTTGTTTCGCGGGAGAATCGCTTTTGCTTTTGGAGTTTGTAACTTTGTGTTTGTAAAAAGTCTTACAATTTGTTTATGAAAACCTAATTTTTCATACAAAAACTTTACAGGCCACAAATTTACTACTTTATTTACGTGCAGAAATAATCATAAATAATTCAGCCATTATGTAAAAGCACACTTCTTTAATATTCTCATTTTCCCTTCCCAAGGAAAGTGTCTATTTTTTTTTTATATGTAAAAAAAATTACAAAAAATTATCTAAAGCCAATACATGATCGTGAATTTGTAGACTAATTAATTGGTCGGCTCATCGGCTGCAATATTTGTGAAAGGATATTGCTTATAATATGTCAATTGTCATGCTTTTGAGAGAAAACAATATGCCTAAGGTAATAGGAGTATATTGGAGTTTGATACAGATACAAATATATATTGTGCTCGGTACAAAAGAACATAAAATAATAAGGTTGCTATTTAGATCCATTTAATTATACTTATGCCTTTTAACAAATGTATTTACAAGTAATCAAACTCACTTGAAATGTCAGATGACAATAGCTATTATATTAGTATTAGTTGCTTAGGTTTTCATCCAGCCCGTCTAGCTCAGTTGGTAGAGCGCAAGGCTCTTAACCTTGTGGTCGTGGGTTCGAGCCCCACGGTGGGCGTTGGTTTTTTAATTTAATTTTTTTCTCGTTTCCATTTTTTTTTACATTAAAAAAAATATATATTTGTAAATATTTTCTATAGGAAAGCAAATTTACTTAAAATGTGGAAATGACTTCCTAGCGTGAAAAGAGGGAAACAAGTCCACAAGTGACATATCACGTTGTGTCTTCATTATCCTCCAACACAACTCACTCTCGTAGTTCCATCATCCCACAACCTACAGTAACCCTCATTCTCATAATATTCGTTTATATTATATACAAAATAATTTTAGAATAACATATTTATATTTTAATTTGCTTATGCAACGAACACAACAAAATAAATATAAAAAAATCACAAAACATTTTTGCTTCGTACGGAAACACACCCATAGTGTTGTTCCTTTTCTCATTCTCGTGCAAAATCTACTCTTTTATGGTCTGCCAGGAAAAAAGAGGGATGAAAGGGTACAACTCTCCAAAAGTAATGCTCAATCATAGAGGAAGGAGTTTATATTTTATTACTACTACTATACATATAATTAGTAAACTATGCAAAATACAGCAAAAGTAACCAACAATATATTTTTTTAAAAAGCTTCATATTCATTATGAGTTGTGGCAATTATGTGTTCCCTTAATTATCCATTATGTGGTTCTACAAAAAAAAAAAGTTTCAGAAGATAGGATTAAGGCCAGATGTATAATTTGTAATCTGATGTGTTCAAAATTAAAGGCCTCAAACTTTTATGTTAATTAACATCTAAACATAATGAATTGCAAAGTAAGGTTGGATAATTGAAGTCCCTTAAGAAGATATAACACACCTAATCTGTCAATCTAATAACACATCATTTTTAGTTCTGTTCAGTCCATCTAAAAAATTTGGTTGATTTTTGCTAAATATGTAGTTAAATTTAACCATTGTGAAATCTTATTAAAATCTTTTCAAAAGACTTAATTTTTTATTTGATATGTTCTATATCACATTAGTAAAGGAAAATTAGGTAATTGCACAAATTATGAAGATACAAACTAAGAAATTTAAACTTAATTAGTTCATTTTGATCCAATTCATCTCAGACCAAATAGTCATTGAACAATTCAACGACACACTCAATTATTTATTTAACCTATTTTAATCGGCCAATTCAACTCAAGCCGCATTTTTCACACCGCTAATGCCATTTGTAATCCATGTGAAAGGAGATGGAAAAGATTGGGAAATTTCTTTGATGGGTGAAAATGACTTAAAGGACGAGCCTAAAGCTGGATGTTGAAAATCTCCACTAATAATTGGACTTTTAGAATATTGAATGAACTCGAAATTAAGTGGTCCATGCCCAAACGTGTCAACTTAAAAACTTTAAACATATAGATTACTTCACCACATTCACTTCCTTTGTATGAAAAGCCCCTATATATACCACTACCTCATTGCTTCTCATAATATAACCACAATTCTCTAACAACTACATCTCCTCTGAATTAAAGTTCTCTCTAACCAACAAAAACTCACAATCCCAATATATTTTAGAGAGAAAAAATGGATCAAAAATTGCCAGTGGTAGCAAAAAACTTCTGGAAAATAGTCCGTGTGGCTTACTTCATGTTGAGAAAAGGATTATCATCAAAGAGGAAACTAATGTTCGATCTCAACTTATTAATGAAACGTGGTAAGATTGCTGGCAAAGCCGCCTTCCAAAATCTGATGTTCCAGGGCCATAATAATAATAATATTCATCAATCAACTTCGAAAGAGTATTACGAGTTCAGCTGCAGTAACAGCCCTGCTTTCCATCTCCCCTTCCACATCAACAAACGCATTAATAAGCATAGTCAGCCTGAACATGACATTGAGTACGACGACGTTTCAATGATGAACGCTGCTGTTTTGAAGGCATTAGAAATGCTTCAGAGCGAAACGGCATCACCTGCTTTGCCTAGATTCGGGAGGACTCCAACGGTGAGGCAATTGAGGATCACTGATTCGCCTTTTCCTTTAAGAGAAGCTGATAATGGTGACATGATTAGCCACGTTGATGAGAAAGCTGATGAATTCATTTCTCGATTCTACAGAGATTTGAGAAGAGAAGCTTCTGCCTTTGCTTAATTTTTTGGAGTGCTTTATTTTTTTTCAGTAATTGGGAATTTTTTGGGAGAGAAGATCGAAAATCCAAAATAAAATAATGTTAAGAGTTTATGATGATAATAATCAATACATTCAAGGCTTAAGTCCTGAAATTTTGCATCAACAAATTCCTTGATTCTCTCTTAATTTGATGGTCGACTATTTGGCTTAATTGGAGTATTATTATATATTATTGTTATGAATTAACCTGGAGTTGGGAAATAAAAATTGCTGATTAAAGTTAATTCTCCAAAAATATCGTCTACAAATATTGTTCGTTAGTTTGGTTAAGACTCTCCAAACTCTAATTGTCGCCAGGACTATTGTACTATGTCAAAGACAAATTAATGCACCAATTAACTAATAAAGGTACTAATATAATATAGTTTCCAATACTGATTAAATCAAGAATATGAATATGTATATATGACTCTCATAACTCATAACATAACATATTAGTAAAATAGATTGTTGATCTAGCCAATTCAATTCAATTCCAGCTGCTAGCTAATAAAATGAGGACTAATTATTCAAAATCAAATAAAGAGATAATTTAGTTTTTTTTGGGAAAGTCTCGCAAATAGTCATTATAATAAAATTAATTAGGCTTTTTAGTTATAATTTGCATATTTACGACTATAGCTATAGCTTACTCATTTGTATAATTTGCAGGTACGTTTTATAATTTGTGTGTACTTGTATAATTAAGTTATTTTCGTCCGTATTTGATGTAAATATTGTTGACACCCAATTTTGACCCTCCACAATATAAATTAATCATCGAGCTTCTTCGATTGCTAACAATTTAAAATAATGCGTTTTATAGGATTTTCATAAATAAAATAAAATAAACATAGTTTGCAAGTTTATTTTAAATAGTTTTGTCACTTTTTTATAATATATATGTTTTATTTAGTTATATATATAGTTAATGCATTTTACGAGTATTAAAAAATCATCTCGAAAAGATTTTATATTTTTAAATACTTTATTAGTAGTAAGGGTCGTAATTTTGAATAAATGAATTTTATGAAATTCAAAATACTCTCAAGTTATTTAGAGTAATTTTATCATTTTCAATAATTTTAATAGTTTTAATAATAAATAAGTATATTTTTACAATCACGTTATCTTATAAATATTTAAAAATCATCACAAAAGATTTTACGTTTAGTTAAAATTATAGTTATGATTTTGAGTTCATTAGTTTGTAATTAAATTAATTATTTTATAATTAAAATTAATTATTTTATTTTGTTAAGATTAAGAAGCTCGGTAATTAGTTAATATTAATTCATCTAAATTAAATCCAATATTATAAAAAAAGCTTAACTCCTTTTCTATTTGGGCCATTTTCCAAATGGCCCAATTTAATCAACAACAACAATACAATCCCAGCCCATTCCAGACGGCCCACATACAACAATCCCTTCAACATTCCCACACATACAATACATACAACAGCAACTCCAAAACCCACTGCCCCTGTACGTTCTTCTTCTCCAAAATGTGAAGAAACCCAAACCCAATCCAAATGACCCCAATCCCATACGATTCCAAACGACCCCCCACCCCTGCGTCTTACTCTTCCTCACCTGCTTCCTGCAGCCTTCAGCCCTGCGAGACCCCGAAAATCAACGACAATACACAGTCCAACAACTTCAGCGCAGAGCAGCGCCAAACGCGACCCCACTGCCCATAATTTCTTCTCCTTCACGCGAGGAAGAGACCGTTCCAGCAGCCCCCATCAGTCCGATTTGATATTGCATCCGGATTTGGAGGGATTTCGTTTGAATATTGAGCAATTGACAGTCTTTCCCATCCCTTGGGTAAGATTTTCAAATCGAAAAATTTAAATCTCAATTCTACCCTTGGCCTTTCCGAATTTCCCCTTATATATGTGTCTCTTCTCCTCCAGTGAAAGGGGATTTGGAGGGAGTTTGGATTTTTCCATTTAATAATTAATTGATAGTTAAGAAAGTTAGAATAACTCTCTAGACCTAAGTTTCGAGAAGTTCGATGATTTAATTCTGACTAGGAATTCTGGGTTTGTTGTTCGTATCGAGATTTCGTGGTGCAAAGATCCTTGCTCTTAACTCTCGTCCCTGTTTCGCTGCCCGGAAAAGGTAACGTTTACTCCGATAACTTTCTCTTCATCTCTTTTGTTATTTATTTTTTGTTAATATTGGGAAATCGCTATTTTGTTGGTAGTTCACTGATTAGTTATCATTGGATTGATATTGTTTTGGCGTGAAGTACATGTTCTTAGTCGTTTCCCTGGGTCAGTCGTGATATCGATTTAAAGCTCTACTAATTTATATCGTTGTTAAGCATCTAAGTGTTGCAGTCATGAGAAGTTACTGCCCAAGGTAGACTTTCTTATTGGGCTGAGTTTTAAAGACCAACTGATATGTTTAGGTATACATGGCGTAGGTGCATTCTGGTTGCTTAGTTTATCTATTTCTTAAATGTCTTTATTGTCTTACTGCTTAAAATGACTTGTTTAAATCAATTTTACATCTTCATTCTATTTAAATTTTAGTCGGAACCATTACATTCTTAAGGTGGAGTCGGTGCAAAATCTTAGTTTTCTTGTCTTATTTTTTCTGTTGGAAGTTTGAACCTTAAGATCATTCGAGATGATTTTTTTTTTTTTTTTGTGTTAATCTCTCATCGTGTGGTTCACTGATTATTTATCCTTTTTTGCTAATCTCCCGTTGCTTTGTTATGTCATATTTGTGGGCTCTGTTTGGAACAAAGAAAATTAGCCCATGTTTAGTTACTTTCTATCAATGCAAGTCGGAAAATGTGATTTCATACGGATTTTCGTATTAGATTGTGTCGCCGATGATTTTTTTTTTACTACTCCTTTTGGTCTAAAGAATGAAAGTTTGTTTCAAGTATCATATTGACAGCATATAGTCACTTATTTGATTAATAATGATAAAAATAATAGTTTGATTTGCTTCAGGTTTAGTATGCCTTCCTTAGAATATGTTCATTGTTTCTTGCTTTGTAGGTTTAAATATTTAACTAACCTTGGATGAATTTTAGCATAGTAAGTTGTATAATGTTGGCATTGATGTATTTTGTCTTTGGCTTTATGTGGTTGTGGCTCGTGTAGGAATATCCATTGTATCAATGTGAGGTCGATTCTCTTATTTATATTTGTTTCAATATTGAATTATCAACTTTTCTAAGTCATTCATTGGCATATAGTATATAAGAGTTACTAGACTTGAGCAGTAATTATTTGGGTTTGTGAGCTGCAATTACTACTTGATTTTGACCTATTAATACTCGTGTTGTCTATGTTATAATTCAATCAGTCTGGGTTACTTTGGTTTAAGATGGTAAAGTTACATTTATGTTTATGGTGTCGCAATTGACTAGTCTTTATCATCCACTAAAAATATTTTATTTTATTTTATTCTATCTTAATTATTCACTTTGAGAAATATTACTATTGTCTACTAATTTTTTGCTTCTCCTTTTCATTGCATGTGAAATCCATCTGAGTTCACTACGAACTCCTACCTTCCTCCTTGCATCTCGAGAGGGCCATAAAGGCTCAAATCATTTATCGAGTTGGAAATCATTTTGTATGAACTGAAATTTGAAACAGGTGTATGAAAAGTCCGAAAACAGGCAGTATACACACTGTATACAGCATTATACGTCAATATACGGGATCAAGGCAACAGATATGTGGCCAAAAACGTGAAAAATACTGTGCAGGGGCGAAGTACAGGTGTTCGGGAGCGAAAAATGCGTAAAAAAGCCGATATACATGCTCGTATACACTGATATACAGCCAGTGTATACCAAAAACGGGATTGGGCAAAAGTCCAAAAATCCCGACGAAATAGGCCCAAAAGGCCCAAATTTAATTTCCCTCTTACTCTTTAATTATTTATTTGCGATTATTTATTGTTTGTCTCTTAACTCTAATTTTAGAATTATTAATTAACTTAATTAAATTCCCCAAAAGAGGAGTTAGTTCTTTGTATTGGTTTAATTTTAATATTTCATGTTTTAAAGTTCACTCATCATATCAATCAAATATGTCGGTCAAATTATACATTTTAATTAAGTTAAACCTTTTGTTATTAAAAATAATATTTTTAAAGCTTTTTCATTTAATCACCTTTTTATTTCATTTTAAAATTGTTGTGATTTAACGTATTTCCTCAAATAAACTCTAAAAGTGCTAGTCAAAACATTTTCAATTAAATATATATATATATATATATATATATATATACACACAAATATATATATATACACGCCCACTTAGTCATTTTTCATAAAAAGGGTTAATTAATTAATTAAAATTGATTTCCATGTTTAATTTATTAAATTGGCTTAATGTATCGTTTCAAAAATGAATCATATGAATTTTAATTATCTAGTTTTATTAAAATTTTATTCATATGCATTTTTCAATTATTTCATATTTAGGTCCATTTTCTTAAAAGTAAAATAAAATAACGTGTCTTTTATTTTTTTTAAGTTGATAGACTATTATGAATTGTTATTTTATGTTAAACAATTAGTCAAAATAATTTTAGTCAAGTCGCAGGTCAACCGCGTGTTAGCGGACATTTCGAATGCCTAAACCCTTCTCGAAGTGTAAATTGAACCCCGAACCCTCTTTGGTGTTTTCAAATGATTTTTTCTGTTTAAATCTTTGAAAATTATAAGTTTTCTTAATTTCTTTAAAAAATTAAGTGGCGACTCTTTTTTAAGTATTTTTCTTAAATTGTTTTATACTTAGAACATTTCAAAAGGTAATTTTTTCTACATATAGGAAAATTACGGCGCGACAGAAATGGCGACTTCCGCTGGGGATTCAATTAGGTTCTAACCATAATGACTTGACTCTCTTTGACTATTTGCTAATATTTGTTGAATTGTTTTACCTCAAATGTGCCTTATTTGTTTAAATTGTGATATCAACTGTCATTGCATGCATATCATTTATTCCGTCAAATGACATTTTTTTTCTTTTCACTTAAAGGACGATTATGCGGGCCGCAGTCGTTCGTTAACCAAATTGTTCTCGGGACACCCTGACGAATGTAGTTGGCTACTGGATAGTCAACAGTCGTTAATTGTCCCAGCCCAAGTAGTCCGCTTGGGTCACCAATCCACTTCAAATAAACCTCACTCTTAGTCATACTAGGATAGAGCAAGACCAAATCCCTGAAATTTAGCGCATTGGCCTAAGATGACCTAATACCCAAGGCGTGTCGGGTTCATTAGAAAGACCACCTTGAGTCCAAAGGGCCCACGACCCGAACGGACGCTCATACTTACGTGTTTGAAGGATGTATGCGCTATTTGACAAAGTGTTGTATCTTGGGTTTGGGGGGTATCTAATTATTTGTATGTTTTTGTAGATGGCTAAGCAACACTTGAGTTTCAAAATGGTCACTGAGACGCCAAACCTCCTCCGTGTATGGTGGTACAATCTCAATGCATATCAGAAAAGAGAACTCTCCATTCACTTAGGTCACCTCCCGTCAATAATGAATCTCAGAGTCTGGCCTAAGTTCATTGAGGTGGTCACTCGATTTTGGGACGATGAGAGGATGGTGTTTCGCTTCGGAGATGTTGAAATGACACCAACTGTTGAAGAAATCAGAGATTGCCTAGACAATGTCGGAATGCGCCAGAAAAGGAAAAATCATCCAGATCACCACATTTTGCTGCCAGATAAGCCAACCAGCACAGAACTGAAGAATATGTTGTTACTAGTAAATGCAGACTGGCTAGACACCCCGAGTATTCCATTTCTGAAATTCTACGAACGGTGGGGACACGAGAACTATTATAAGAATTTTCCAAATGAGTTTCTCAGTCGCAGTAGTTGGAGTCAAACTCAAACTTTAGCATTTGCTGTATGCCTCTTAGGGACGATGGTATTTCCTCAAGGCGAAGGGAATGAAATTGATACTCGGGTTGTCATGGTTACACACGCCATCTTTGAGGGAGTTGGTAAAAAGGGCCAAGTCAAGAAATACTTCAACCTGGCCCCGATCATTTTGGCCGACATCTATCGATCTTTGGATAAATGCAAAAATGGGTTTCCATTTTTTCAAGGGTGTAATATTTTGTTGCAATGGTGGATGTCTAAACATTTAGTGAAAACATGTGAGACTCAGAAGCAAAAATTGGCTGAGCCGAAGAAGGAAAGCCACCTCGATCACTACGAGTTTCATTTGAGCATCAACAGGTTCAATATCCACAGCACGAGGGAAGCATGGGCTAAGGTCTTCCATGACATCAAAGAGGAAAATGTACAATGGATGTTCCAAGATTTCATGTCAGAAAAAATAATTGTTCAGGGGGCTAAATGTCCTTTCCTAATCCTTCCTGGCATTAGAGGGGTACGACCCTGCAACCCTAGCAGGGTGATGCGGCAATTCGGCAGAAGGCAAATTATACCTTTCAAAGGAGACACAAGTCGCTACGTCTTTGACTACGACGGTTGCAACAAGATACCTTACGCCAAGAATATTCTCCAAGAATGGGCTGGGCGGGTCAACCTAAAGGAAAGCATGGCCGAAAATAGATATGAAGCTGGGTATGTTGACGAATACAAAAAATTGTTGCAAGATGATCTACGTGGTACACTTAACCCGACGCCACGCTCGGGCAGACAGATTGAAGATGTCCAAGTAAGGCTTCAAATCCAAGCCTACCACTTTCAGCAAGAATGGGATCGAAAAGAACAAGAGTTTCAACGTAGGGAGCAAGAATACCTGCGTAGGGAACAGGAGTTCCAGCATCGAGAGTATGAAAGTCAAAGGGCCTTAGCCTATGCCTCGCAAGAGTTAGCCGACGCAAGAGCTTGTTTGATACGTCTGGATTCAAACTTGGATGATCAGCTTCACACTCTCCAGGGCATATCGATATCTTCCAAAGCTGTGTTTGCCGAGCCACATGTGATGACTAACAAATTCCTCATTCGCGAAGAAGTGGGAAAAGCGAGAGGAGGAGCGGGACCTTCGGCTTTTTAGTTATTTTATTCCCCTGCGTGGGATTGATTATTGTATTCGCAGTTTATCCTTTCCCTAAAAGATGTATCCCTTTGCTTAATTTTGTAATGAATTTTCTGTCGTTTATGAATCTTATTTTGGGGGGTGCAATAATTTGTTTCAAATGGCGCAATACATCCTTTAAAAAATCGCTAGGCCTACCCTTGGCACAAAAGGGTCACATGCATGTTAGGAGGCGATGTTTGTCTGTTTACTTGAGTGCTTTAACTGTTTATGTGGTGAGTTGCTTTGAGTGAGAACATTTTAGCCCACTCCTTTCCAAAATATTCTGGAAAAAAAAAAAAAGTGTTACAAGTCACTACCCCAAAATGTCCGACCAAAATTTCATGAGTCTTAAGTTTCTCAATTAGACATAAAAATCCAATTACCAAATCCTAAGACATCGCTCTATTATATCAGGAAAGGTGAAATCGCAGCTAAGATGGAAAAAGGAAAAAATATCAACGTAGAGTTAACCGAAGAAGATTTGAAGATGAAATTGCAGCGGCTCAGACAAGAAATCCAAGAAACCAGAAAAAAGAGAATAGAAGTGGAGATCGCCACCGCGGTTGCACAAGCCGCAAATGCGGCGCTAGACGAAGAGTTAGCAGCTAAGATGGCAAGACACGTTATCGTGAACGAAGAGATAGCCGCAATGCGAAAAGGAGACGATAGTATAGCCACGAAGCTTCAGAAACTACGTAAAGAATACCCTCTTTTGGATAACGCAGTCCCGGTCCCCGAAAATAATGAATCAGAAGCTGTTGACGAAGAATTTGAGGAGGAAATTGTTGATAGGCCTCCTTCCCAAGGACGGTGGAAAGTAGGGAATGGGGAAAATTGCCCTTGAAGCATAAGAGTTTACCCCCCCGGGGTTGATGTGACAATCGAAAGAAGAATGGCTTGGATGAAGGCACGTTTTATCTTTTAGGAGCTTTATTATCTGTTTTTTACTTTCCTTGTAATCACCAAAAATGAATGAGTGAGAATGAAAATTTCCTTTGTATTCGAACTACGTAGGGCCTGAATTCTCTTGATAAAATACGTAGGCAGCCTTTTAAGGCCCGGCCCCTATCTTTTGAAAAATTTTCCATTTCCCTCTTCATTCTACAAGGAAATGTCGGGTTCAGATCAACAGATGCCGAAAAATGTAACGAGAAGACCTTAGCTCAACGCGATTTAACCTTTCTGAGTCACTAGCCTCAAGATAAAACGAGCAAATTCCTGCTTGTTTAAAAAAAAAAAAAAAAAAAAAAAAAAACAAAACAAAACAAAAAAAAAACATATTCGTGGGTTAACATGTTCTCAGACAAAGCAGTTCTTATGTGTTTATATGCCCTCTGTGTGATATTTTGTATTATTTGTCATGAATCAAGACTAACATATTTGCCTTTGAGTTGTTTTCTCTACAGGTAGTCAGAACTGATCTGTGTCGATAAACTGGCAGAACATCCATATTTCACAAGATCAAAAGGGCCTGCAGATTCTTTTCCCGGTCAAAGTTCTCGAAAGGGCAAATCAACAATGGGTGATAACGTTGAAGATACCGGCTTAACAGATGTTGTTGTGGCACAACCCGTAATCGCCGATCAGAATGAGCTAATCATGCAATTGATGCAACAGATAGCTGAGATGCGGGTCGAGATGCAGAGAAGGCAAGATTTGCCCAACCCAGCTTTTGCATCCAATACTCCAACAGATGGAAGGCCTCCACTTCACTTTCCTTCTTTAAACATGGAACAGGCTCAAAACCCACCATCTAGTCTTGCTCATAACCATCAATTATCAACCTAACCGCTCAGAACCCCCATATGCCTCCGCCTCCCATCAGACAACACACCCTCCCCAAAATACCAACTTCCAAGTACCACCCCTTCCTCACAATCCCGACCTCCAAGTACCACTTTCCCCCCCAAAATGTCAACCTCCAAACTGTTCCACCCCCTCAAATCCAACTTTTTAACAACCAGCAAACTTCCTTCCGTCACCAAGACCAACACACCAACCCCCAAACTTTCCCCCAAAACTACCAAACCACCCCAAATGCCCAAAGTCCCTCCATTGCTCCACCCCTACCCCAAAAAGCAATGTTCCAAATCCCCGTCCCCAATGAGCATGACGCCAATGGTTCTGAGCTCGACCATATGAAGAACGGGAGAGAGAGTGGAGGCCAAAGGAAGAGGCCGCCAAGCTGGACATGAAAGAAGAAATTCGGAAAGCCATGAAGGAATTACAGTGTATTCCTGAAGTCGCTGGTTTGAATTATGAAGACTTATGCATTCATCCCAACTTGGACCTTCCGGAAGGATTCAAGGTGCCGAAGTTCGATGTTTTCGGAGGAACAGGGAACCCTCTGGCACATTTGAGGGCCTACTGTGACCAACTCGTGGGAGTTGGAAGGGATGAAGCTTTATTGATGCGGCTTTTTAGCCGGAGTCTTAGTGGAGAGGCTTTGGAATGGTTCACCTCGCATGAGACAAGACAATGGTCTAGCTGGAATGCTTTAGCTAAAGATTTTATCGAACGATTCGCTTACAATGTGGAGATCGTTCCTGACCGTTATTCCCTAGAGAAGATGAAGCAGAAGTCAAACGAAAGCTATAGAGAATTCGCGTATAGGTGGAGAAAGGAGGCAGCCAGGGTTCGACCTCCTATGTCGGAGAAAGAAATTGTTGAAGTATTTGTGCGGGTTCAAGAACCCGAGTATTATGACAGAATCATATTGCTCGTGGGAGCGAAATTCGCCGAGATAGTCAAGGTAGGTGAGACTATCGAAGATGGATTGAGAACCGGAAAGATTGCTCGTGTTGCTGCATCACCCGGATTTTCAGGTTTGTTGAAGAAAAGGAGAGAAAATGTGTCTTCTATATCTCTCGAAGGGAAGAAGACCCCAAGGAAATCCTTATCATACCAAGGTCGTTCTAGACCTTCACAGAGTTCATACCCGGTTGATACCCCCCTTTCCAATTATCAAAGTACTCCCCCTCCTATCTACCAAACTCCCCCTCCAGTATACCAGTCCCCATATTATCACTACCGAAATATCACCCCCAACTGCGCCAACGTTCAGGCAAATTACCAAGCTTCTCCCTCAACATACCAAACCCCAGCTCCACTTTACCAAAATACCCTACCGAACTACCAAGCCCCACAGCCAAACTACCAAACCCACTCATATCCCAGATATCAAGCCCCCCGCCCGAATGCTCCAAATTATCGGCAAATGCCTCCTCTTCAACAAGGCAATTACGATCCCCCTCGTCCTAGATTTGAGAAGAAGCCTGCCAGAGTTTTCACTCCGCTTGTTGAAAGCCGCACAAAGTTGTTCGAGCGATTAAATGCGGCAGGCTATATTCATCCAGTGGGGCCCAAACCGGTTGACACCAGCTCAAAGTTTTACAGACCTGATCAGAGGTGTGCGTATCACTCCAACAATGTTGGGCATGATACCGAGGACTGTATCAACTTAAAGCACAAGATCCAAGATTTGATTGACCAGAAAGTGGTCTCTCTCCAGACAGTCGAGCCTAATGTCAATAGTAATCCTTTGCCGAATCATGGAGGCGTCACTATCAACATGATAGAGACAGATGATGATGGGTTCGTGGCAAAAGCAATAGTTCCGATCGCTCTTGATAACCTGGAAAAAGCTGTGGCTTCGTTGAGTATCAAAGAGAAGAAAGAGTTCGTGATTCTGACACCTAAGAAGGTTGCTGCCTTGGTGCCACGAGAAACTCTCGCCCAACCAAAGTTCGTGATTGAAACGGCAGTTACCCAGGGTATGACTAGATCCGGCAGGTGCTATGCGCCAGAAAAGCTGTCCCAGGGGGTGCAGAAGAAAGAGCAGCCTAAAAGGCCTATCAGTGAGGCTGAAGCCGAGGAGTTCTGGAGAAAAATGCAGCCGAAAGATTACTCAATTGTGAAGCATTTGGAGAAGACACCGGCTCAAATTTCCGTATGGGCTTTGTTGATGAGTTCGCAAATGCATAGGCAGGCTTTGATGAAAGCTTTGGATGACACTTACGTACCTGTGGGTACTAATAGTGATAATCTGGCGGCCATGATAAACCAAGTTGTACGAGGACATCGAATCAGTTTCTGTGACGAAGAGCTACTCTTTGAAGGCAGGATGCATAACAAAGCTCTGCATGTCACCGTGATGTGTCGAGACAAGATAATAAATCGCGTCTTGATCGATGACAGATCCGGTCTCAATATTTGCCCACTATCGACTCTGAGACAGCTGAAATTTGACTTGGGAAAGCTTCAGCAAAACCAAGTCAATGTGAGGGCTTTCGATGGAGTGCAAAGAGACACATTAGGTGCGGTAAACTTGGATGTTCAGATAGGTCCTGCGGAATTTAAGGTAGAGTTTCAGGTGTTGGATATCAACACCAGTTACAACTTGCTTTTGGGAAGACCATTTATCCATATGGCCGGAGCTGTGCCGTCTACCCTTCACCAACTGATGAAGTTCGTTTGGAAGGACCAGGAATTGGTCATTTATGGTGAAGGGAGCCGTTCCAACGGGTATGCGCCGATCATTGATAATGTCTCTCGAGGTTGTGATTTTTACACGGTGGAGCTGGTAAATGCCACCGGTGATGATCTGGCTTCACAGCCTCCTATGCCTTCTGTGTACAAGATGATTGCTACTGTGATGCTACAGAGTGGTTTCGAACCAGGTTTCGGATTGGGGAAGCATTTTCAAGGAATTGTCGAGCCTATCAAAATTCCCGCCAGAGGAGTGAAATTTGGTTTGGGGTATGTCCCCAAAGATGACGAAGCAGAGATGAAGAGTAAAAGCGTTGATCAAGCATTGTCCAGACCAATCCCTCATCTGTACCAGTCATTCCCGGTGCGAGAATATGTCAATGACGATGGACTAGGGGAAGGAATCTGTGGCCTTTTCAAGGAGATTGATGCGATCGTTGAAGACAAGGCTGAGACATCAGGCATCCGTGATGCAGAACCTGCGGAGCAATTGCAAAATTGGACCTCCACGCCAATCCTGATTTCCCGCTCTTCTGGGTAGAGAGGACATGTGCTTTTGTTTGTTTCTTTAAATCGGTGGTAGTCCGGAAGAAGCCCGAGACCCACCCTTTATGCAGTCTTACTTGTTTGAATGTTTTTACATTTTCTTGTGATGTTTTAAAATACAAAATGGCCCTCTATCATGGCCAAAGTTGTGTTTGTCCTTCAATTTAAATGAAAGCCTTTTTTGTCAAAATTTTATTTACTTATCTGTTTATATTTTCTCCTAATTCTGTTTGTTTATGATTTCAGTAATATTAATTTAAAACCTGCCAATGTCATGTCATGTCATGAGCCGAATGAACGAAATGAAGTAGGCGATGATGAATGCGAAGAACACAAAGAAGAAAATGAGGTACCAGAACATATAGCTGAAGAATTTCGACAATTCGAGAATCAGCACAAGCCAAATCTAGAAGAAACTGAGACCGTGAATCTTGGGGATGAAGAATGTGTCAAGGAAGTCAGAATCAGTGTCCACCTGACTGAAGATCAAGGAAAGGACCTGGTTCATTCGCTCAAAGAATACATTGATGTATTTGCCTGGTCTTACAAAGATATGCCAGGGCTAAGTACGAATATGGTGTCTCACAAGTTGCCAATTAATCCAGACTTCAATCCAGTGAAACAAAAGACTCGAAAGTTCAAGCCGGAGTTGAGTTTAAAGATCAAAGAGGAGATTACCAAACAGATCGAGTCTCAGGTAGTGGAAGTGACACAATACCCAACTTGGTTAGCCAATGTTGTTCCGGTCGCGAAGAAAGACGGAAAGATCAGGATTTGTGTTGACTACAGAGATCTCAACAAAGCTAGCCCAAAAGATAATTTTCCATTACCAAACATTCACATTCTCATCGATAATTTTGCTAAGCATGAGATGCAGTCATTTGTGGATTGTTATGCGGGCTATCATCAAATCCTGATGGACGAAGAAGATGCAGAAAAGACAGCTTTCATCACACCCTGGGGCGTATATCATTATCGGGTGATGCCTTTCGGTCTCAAGAACGCGGGTGCTACTTATATGAGGGCTATGACAACTATCTTCCATGATATGATTCATAAAGAGATCGAGGTGTATGTGGATGACGTCATAATCAAATCCCGCGAGAGTTCGGCTCACTTGGCTCACTTGAGAAAGTTCTTTGATCGTCTGCGTCGATACAATTTGAAGTTAAATCCTGCCAAATGTGCTTTTGGAGTGCCGGCCGGTAAGTTGTTGGGATTTATAGTCAGTAGGAGGGGCATTGAGCTTGATCCTTCTAAGATTAAAGCAATTCAGGAATTGCCTCCTCCGAAGACCAAGAAGGAGGTAATGAGTTTTCTGGGAAGGCTAAACTACATAAGTCGATTTATAGCTCAATCTACCGTGGTGTGTGAGCCAATCTTTAAATTATTGAAAAAAGATGCTTTGACCAAATGGACCGGAGAGTGTCAGACGGCTTTCGATGCTATCAAGAACTATTTATCCAATCCACCGGTGTTGGTTCCTCCACGAGAAGGGAGTCCACTGTTGCTATATTTGTCTGTCTCAGATAATGCATTCGGATGCGTGCTTGGTCAACATGATGAAAGTGGGAAGAAAGAACGAGCCATTTATTACTTGAGCAAGAAATTCACTCCGTATGAGGCTCGTTACACCCTTTTGGAGAGAACGTGTTGTGCTTTGACTTGGATTGCTCAGAAGTTGAGACATTATCTGTCTTCTTATACCACATACCTTATTTCTAGGATGGATCCTTTAAAGTATATTTTTCAGAAAGCAATGCCGACTGGGAAATTGGCTAAATGGCAAATGCTTTTGAGTGAATTTGACATTGCATATGTGACTCAGAAGGCTATAAAAACACAAGCCTTAGCTGATCATCTTGCGGAGAATCCAGTTGATGAAGAGTATGAACCACTCAAGACTTATTTTCCCGATGAAGAAGTTACATTCGTGGGTGAAGATATTTCTGAAGCGTACCCGGGTTGGAGAGTATTCTTTGATGGAGCGGCGAATCATCAAGGTAAAGGTATCGGAGCGGTCTTAGTATCAGAAACCGGTCAGCACTATCTTATGGCGGCTAAACTCCGATTTAATTGCACGAATAACATGGCTGAGTACGAAGCCTGCATCCTCGGTCTGAAGATAGCGATTGATATGAACATTCATGAGTTATTGGTTATTGGAGATTCAGATCTGCTAATTCACCAAGTTCAAGGAGAATGGGCCGTGAAAAACCCAAAAATCACACCATACGTGCAGTATATACAGAAGTTGTGCAAAAGGTTCCGTAAGATTGAGTTCAGACATACTCCCAGGACACAGAATGAGTTGGCCGATGCACTTGCCACCATTGCCTCAATGATTAAACATCCAGATACAAGTTATATTGATCCTTTGGATATCGAGGTAAAAGAGCAGCCTGTTTATTGTTCACATGTCGAAGCAGAACCAGATGGTTTGCCTTGGTATTTTGACATTAAGAAGTATTTGGAGACCGGGGCCTATCCTGAGAATGCAACGTTCAACCAGAAAAAGTCGATACGCCGTATGGCCCTCAATTTCTTTGCAAGTGGGGAAATCCTTTATAGGAGGACTCCAGATTTAGGTCTTCTCAGATGTGTTGATGCTAGTGAAGCTGCGAAGCTTCTGGAACAGATACATGCGGGAGTTTGTGGCACTCACATGAGTGGACTCACTTTAGCAAGAAAGATCCTTCGAGCCGGTTATTTTTGGATGACTATGGAGCACGATTGTTGCAAATTTGTACAAAAATGTCATAAATGTCAAGTACATGGTAATTTGATTCGAGTTCCACCTCATGAACTCAATGCTATGAGTTCACCTTGGCCGTTTGTAGCTTGGGGCATGGATGTCATTGGTCCAATAGAGCCAGCCGCCTCCAACGAACACAGATTTATTTTAGTTGCCATTGACTACTTCACCAAGTGGGTGGAAGCAGCTTCGTATAAGTCGGTGACTAAGAAAGTTGTAGCTGATTTTGTCCGCAACAATCTGATATGTAGGTTTGGAGTGCCGGAATCCATCATTACCGATAACGGAGCAAATCTCAACAGTCACTTGATGAAAGAGATATGTGAACAATTCAAGATTACTCACCGGAACTCAACTGCCTATCGTCCCCAAATGAACGGAGCGGTAGAAGCCGCCAACAAGAATATAAAGAAGATTCTGAGGAAAATGATTGATAATCGCAGAGGATGGCATGAGATGCTACCATATGCTTTGCTGGGTTACAGAACAACTGTCAGAACATCAATTGGAGCTACTCCATATTTGTTGGTATATGGAACGGAAGCAGTTATACCTGCAGAAGTTGAAATACCTTCATTGAGAATTATCCAGGAGGCTGAATTGGATAATGCTGATTGGATTTGCAAGCGGATTGACCAGTTAACCTTGATTGATGAGAAGAGGATGGTTGCTGTTTGTCATGGTCAATTGTATCGACAAAGAATGATTCGGGCTTTTCAGAAGAAAGTAAGGGCCAGAGCGTTTGAGGTTGGTCAGTTGGTTCTCAAACGTATTTTCCCTCACCAAGACGAATATAAAGGGAAATTTGCACCAAATTGGCAAGGACCCTACATGGTTCGTAAAGTGTTACCTGGAGGTGCTTTGATCCTGTCAGAGATGGATGGAACGGAATGGCCAAAGCCAATCAACTCAGATGCTGTCAAGAGATATTATGCGTGAAGTCTTAGCTTGTATTTCTGTCATTTCCTTGTAATCGCTCCATTTGTTTGTAATCGCTCTGTTAGAATTTGTCTCTTTTGTAATGAACTACGTCTGACCTGAATTCTCAGGAATGAGATACGTAGGCGGCCTATGTCGGCCTCGGTCACCCCTTTATCCTTTTTTAATACTTTCTTTGTATTTGAACTACGTTCGACCTGAATCCTCAAGAATGAGATACGTAGGCGGTCTATGTCGGCCTCGGTCGGTTTCTTTGTAAATTTTTTATTAATCCTCGAGAGGGGGAACTACGTTTGACCTGATTCCTGCCTCAACGGGACACGTAGGCGCCACAAGGGCTCGGTCATATTTCTCGTAAGATTTCTATTTCTCTCTACAATAGAAACTGGGACAGAATTTTGAAAATGACTCAAAAATTCTCAAGAAGAAGATCTCTCCAATAAAATCAAAACTGAAGTTACTTTTAAATTTGCTACTGGGACAGAAATTTTGAGGATAACCTCAAAATTTCAATAAGGCTCATCGAAAGTTCGGAACGGCTTTGAATATTTCCCAACAACTAATCAGATAGACCTCGAGGCATCAACTTCAAAGACGTTCACTAAGCTTGACGTGACATGACACTTGGCAGTGACCTTTTTCAAACATTACTTTTTGAAAATTTGTTTTCCTTAAAACTTTTCTTTCGTGTGTTAATTATTCTATATAACAAATGTCTTGTCTTATCTACCAAGAAGCGGGAGATCGAAAAAATCAATTGGAGATAGCTAGAAAAGGATCAGACAACCAAAAAGATCGACACAGATCAGTTCATCTTAAACTAACAATTTTTCTGTGGATGCAGGGCTATAGGTTTACCTCAAAATCAGCATATTCTTCTATTCAATGAATACGGAGAAGTCAACGGGCGAGGATCTCCCCAAAACTAACAATTTCTCTATGGATGCAGGAAATATGTTATGCTTCTTATGCCAAATAATTGGGAATAGAAATATTATTATTCAATTTCTAGCAAGGCGAAATCTATAACAAACATGCTACTATGTTCAGAGACGGAACAAACAAGAGAGCAATATTGTTATTTTTCAGCTACCAAGATGCCTGGAAGATACTTATCTGCATTGTATTGTCGAACGAGATAATACCACTACTCCGAGAGTCATTTTTTATTCATATTGTCGATTGAGACGATACCGCCATCCAAAATATACCTAGAAGATCACTATGTGATGTGGTAAAGCATATCTTTATGCGGTACCAAGGAGGCATCATCAGAAAATTCATGCATCGCGAAAAATTCA